ATTTTTTTTAACGTGCGAATCGATCAAGTTCGTTTACGTACATATACATATAGGTAGTATATATATACGAAAATATTCTTCGCTGTTCTTCCCAGATATCCTCGCTTTTTTTTTTTTCTTCTCTTCAGTCTTTGTTTCTCCTTTTATTTCCGTCAATGTGTACGTTCAACGAATTCGCATTCTTTGGAGAAAAAAAAATACGATAGCAAGGATGTTTGACAAAAAAGAAACAAAAAGAAATGGTACGAATTGAGGAGCAACGTTAAAAATATTGGAATCGTCCGCGAAACAACAACAACTGTATAGTTTATTTGAATCGTTCGATAAACCGGCCCTAAGGAAACTTCACACGAAACAAGAACCTCTCGCAAAAAGTATACGAAGCATATTACCGTTGCAGGATTGAAATCCCCCCCAGTTAGTCCAGAAATTGTATCGTTTTCTTTCTGGAACGAGCCTCGTTTAAAGGTTATCATTGTAAAAGTTCCTTTTTTGCATATCGACTTAGTGAACATGTACTTTCGACGTGGAAGGTACACACCAACCACAGTCTTTGTCCCAGAGCTACACGTTCTGTGATCTTGTGATCTTGATTAATAATATTGACTATCATTTTCGTTTGATCACACAATGTCATCGTTTACAAGTGCGCGTCGTATTCTAATACGAATGCGGTACCACGTGAACACGCATACATACGTACAAACACACGTCGGTGTATATTAAAATAAATTAAACTTACATTTTTGAGAATTAAAATCGAGCGTTCGCAATTCATTCAAGGATTCCACCTTTACTCCCGTTTTTCAATATCCTCAGGAGGGAATACTCTGCGCACTCTGTGCGTAAAACAAGGGTAGGTATCGAAAGAAAATGTGTAGAAATGAATTATATCGTTTCATCAGTTATTTTAGTATTTTAATTATTATATCGCTCTAAGGTCGTAGAATATTGTTACGAGAAATGAACATTATTATCTAGTAATTGTTAAAAGAAACATAAATATTCTTCTCAACGAATATTACTGTAGTATTGTTTATAACTAACTAATTTCAACATTACCTAGTAGTAAAACCGGAATTTATTTCGCAGTTTCGAAAAACAGTAATTTCGACTCGCTTGTTAGCCCCTTAACCTATGATTTCTTTTCCGACTACGCATGTAAGCGTCAGCCATTTAATGTTTTAGTACTAATATCAGGAAACGAAAGCTAATCTGTTACAGATTAATTACATTGAGGAATCCTTAATTTTAGAAATTAAAACGAAAGTTAGGATTACAATGAATTTTTCTCACTAATACAACGACTTTTGTCGTATCTTAACCAGAATCTCTGTCACGAGTCTGACACGTTGTTATATGTGAAAGGGTTAGCTCGTCGAAATTAATTTTTGATTTGATTTCGCTTCTTTCGTAGCTTCGTTGAATATCGATTATGCATAAATGATAATATTGCATTGAATTAACAGCTTAATCGTCGCGAGCACCTTGTGTTCGAGTGGTGTTAGTCCCAAGAGAAACCACGTCAGGATCAACAAATAACGAAACAGGATCTCGAGGACCACTTCGGAGCGATTAGTTCACATGGTGTCCTATTACCTCTAGCTGGCAAACGGTGGCGCGCAGTGTGCACGCTATTGTAAGGGGTTGTTTGTGTTATTAGATTTAGATTGATCAGCACGTGGCACGCGGTACGGCGGCCACGTGCCCATTGCAAACGTTACAACGTGGGTACAATACGAAATCGTTTTTCTTGCGATATTACTTTCCATACTGGCCCCTGTAAAAACACATTCTTCCGTCAATGGATCTGCTATTTTCATACTATTTTCCACGATACGTCGGCACACGTAGTACTAATTAGCTCTTAACCCTCGAACTACTAAGGGGAGGATCCTCGAACCCACAAATCGACGAATTTTTCAACTACTTCCTTTGTGCAAAAAATTCTTAAAAAATGATTTATTGCCGTTTACGCCGTTAAGTTTGATACTCTAAAATCACTGTTGCTACATTATGCGAGAAATACTGCTATATTTGAGAATGTTGAGAAAATAAACCCAAATCAAAAACGACACGCGACATTATAATGGAGAATAGAAAATAGGTAAAGTTTGGGAATTTTTTTTAAAGGTAACTACCAAATGATAAATTTCAATCTTTATTGGAGGATGTAAAGGTAACTTTCAGCTTTCTTCTGCGATTTTTGGAAAGGAAAATATTACAAAATGGAGGAGTTATTGTGAAACTTCTTCTGCCAGAACATCGATTGCTGGCCGCCATTACTGACAAGGGTTGAAAAGTCTGAAATAAAAAATTCTTTTTAATTTATAAATAAAAATGCATTATCTACAGTGTACCATACGATTTAATTATTTAGAAACGTTTAAATTTGATTTTTTTTTTTATAGTAAAAAAGAAGTTTTCCTCTTCAGTCTGCCACCATCTCAGCAATAATTACAATTTTCGAAAAATTCTAAACCAAACTGTAGATAATACATTTCTGTTTATAAATTAAAAAGAACTTTTCATTTCAGACGTTCCAATCCTTGCCAGCAATTGACGTTCCAACATAAGAAGTTTCACAATAACTCCTCCATTTTGTAACACTTTTACTTTCAAAAAATGGAAGAAGAAAGCTAAAAGTTACCTTTACATCCTCCAATAAAGATTGAAATTTGTCATTTAGTAGTTACCTATGAAAAAAATTCCCAAACTTTACCTATTTCTAGGTGTCTCACGGTAATTCATCCTCTTATATTCGAACGTTTCGCCAAGTTAGGTTCTTCAGGGTAGGTACATCGAAACACACTGATAATGTGTGTCATTTTAGATTTAGATTTATAAATTTACAAATTTCTCGATATTCCCAAATGTAACTTATTGAAATTGTTTTTATTGATACATTATTAACGTTGCTTTTCCATTGTTTAAATAATTAAAAAATGGAACACAGGGTAAATGTCCTAGAGAACGAGTGCTGGAGTACTTTCATATTGCGTGTTTTATATTTTAGTACACTAATAGGCTTTTTCGCTCAGTTGCTTTGATCCCTGATACAAACAGCACGGCCCTCGATGTCCGCCAATCCACCGCGAGCAATCAGCTTAGGTTTTTGGCACGTGCGGTCCCATAAAATACTACAC